TATAAAAACAGAAAAGAAATTGAAAAGCGCTTGAAAGACAGAATAAACTTGCTTCTATGAAGCGCTAGAAACAGCTTTCATAAAGCTAACATAACTTGCTTCCATAAAGATTCCGTGAAGCGTTATAAGTAGTACAAATAGGGAATAATAGAAATGCAAATTGTGTAAAGTCAACACTAAAAATAAACCAATTAAAGTTGAGCAAAGTTTAATAAACTTCAAAAACCTGTCTTAAACATGCATAAAAAATAGTACAAAATACATGCATATACACATAAAAATACATGCAAAAAATACAACATACATAAAAAAAAACTAAATTTCACAAATCACTATAAAAAGCTAATGTTTCATGCTAGCTAATGTAATAAAATACTAATGTAATAAAAAGCTAATATAATCACAATTGTGTGTTTTAAGTTGAGCTAATAGCAACGACAAACTCATTTTCACTAAAAAAAAGTATTATTTTATGTCAAATGTTATACAAACAGAAACTGATCGAGTTAAAAAATTAAGGATAGAATATCTGTTGTGTGTACATAATTGCAGAATGTATAATGTTTAAACAGAATGTATAGGCCAATGCCTTCCTTTGAAGATTTCTCCATAACGAGTTCTGATTTATCTTTGGCAGTGTGTGTTGACGATAAAATTCGTTATTCATCCGCGTTAAAATTTTTACATGCAAAGATGTGAAGTACGAACACATACAGCAAACTCAGACTCGTCAATGAAAATATAATGTGCTACTTTGTGTTAAAAGTAGGCAAAAGATTGCTTTGAAATTAAATTTAAATTGAAATGCAAAACGCATGCAGACTAACTTAATTAAATAAAACCTAAAAATGTGTTCATGCTTTTTTAAAATTGTGCTAATAGTCAAACGGATGCATTTTATAGATCGATATAAAGTGTCATTTTATGTCAACATTTGCGTAGAAAGTTTAAAAAAGTGCAGTGAAATACGAAGCAAAAATAAAACAACTGAATTTCATGAAACGCTGCGAAGTGTTATATTTATAGTATTGCAAACAGTAGTAAAGATGCTTTCATACGGCAAATACACTTTCATAAAATGTTATGAAGAAGTATTTTGTGTTAGAAGTGGCGAAGAAAGCGACGAACTTCCGAAAAGTGAGTTGAAACAACAAACATGAGCCTCATTCTAATAAGCATTAAAATATTATTCAGCGATTTGACTAAGAATCGACGTCATTTCCAATTCTTTATTATTCTAAGCATGATTCTTGATTCATCTACCTGACAAGCAACAAATGAACAATACATTCTTCGAACTTTAAACAACTTCTTGACTCACATCAATAGAAACTAATACAGTCAAACCCCGCTATAGTGAGCCTTCAAGGGACGGAAATTCCGTTTCACTGTAACCGGGAGTTTACTCTATCCGAACTGCAAACAATTTCGAACTAATTTTTCCGAACTCCTCCCTTTTATTGCACATTATTTAAATAAATGACCCAGAAAAAGAAACACAAAATTGATTAAAACACAATATGTAGTAACTCAAAATATAACTCTTCGTCTTGCGAACGAAAAATTTAGGGATGGCCTTTATTTAACGACGGAAAATTGTGATAGAAGAAGCAAACGAGAAAAAAGTCCTTATGACTTTATTCCACTCAATAGAAGAAATTAGAATACGTATTTTGTGTAGAAATTTCAAAGTTGCCAAAAAATGAAAAAAAAAATCATTCGAAAACAGAAAAAAGTTTATAATATCAAATTTTCTCTTTTCTTCCACAGAAAATAATATCATATGCGAATAGTAAGACACGGGAGCGAACATTTCAATCACTATATCCGGGATTTCACTATAGCGGGGTTTGACTGTATAATAGAAATTAAAATATGAACTTTGGCTCGGTTTGTACATGTGGGCTCTGAATAGACGATATAATTACCAGTTCTGTGATTCCGTGCCACGATATGTAAATGGATAAGGTTAAATAGAGTAAAGTGCGCCGTAAAAAACAACCGATCACTCTAAATAACCTTTGATCTAATGATCATATCTTCACGTTCTAGAACTCAATCTTAACGGTTCGAGGGGGTGACCTCAAATACCCTAATTAACATGCGTACGAGATACATTAAGTTACGAAATCAGACACAAAAACGTACTTTCTCTGAATAAACATACCCTTTTTACGAAGGATTCAGATTTCTAACCTCCAAAATAAAGAGAGTAGCCGCAATCTAGGAAATAATGTCCCAATAGTTTGGTCAAGAGAGCTCCCTTTAATGTTAATTTTACTTTTTGCGTACATCGCTATATCTCGAGAACTCTTGAAGAGAAAATAAAAATGTTTGCATAAAATTGTAAAATTCGCTTAACTAAAGACAATTCCATGCAAAAAATAATTTTAGTAAGTTATTATTATTACTTATTATTTCATTTAATAAAAGTCGAAAAATGCTGAATTCTAAGGTATAAAAATTTTTGCATCATTTAAAAATTATTGCATCATTTTTTGCATTATTTTATAGTTCGTAAGAAAACGAATTTTAAATATCAGACTTTCTTAAAACTCAATTTCTCAGGAACTATTCAATCGATTTTGTTCAAATTTTGTATTTTACCATGTCAAATTATATTCTTTAGATTTAAGCAAAAAATTGTAAAACTTACTAAAGTCTTTTGGCTTTTATTAAATAAAATAATAAAAATAATGAATACTAATTAAAAGCTAATTTTTTGTGGCATAGAATTATGTTTGAATAAGCAAATTTTATAATTCTGTGCAAAAATTTTTAAAATCGATTGAAAAGTTCTCGAGATATAGCGAAATACGCCTTCGGATCAAACTCTTGGAAACATATTTCCCAAATTGAGGCTACCCCCTATAATGTGGGGGTCAAAAATCCAAATTTGTCAGAAAAAGGTATGTTTATTCAGAGAAAGTACGTTTTTGTACCTGATTTCGCAACTTGAAATATCGTCTGCACTTTTTAATTAACATATTTGAGATCAGCCCTACGAACCCCTAGGATTGAATCCTAGAACGTGAAGATTCAATCATTAGATAAAAGGTTATTCAGGGTGGTGCGTTTATTTTTTTGCTGGCTGTACATCATGCTGCATGCTAGACTGACGCTACTAAAGACACAACATACACAGTATTCGATGTAGTGTAACTATTTGGAAGAAAAAAGCTCCTACGGAATCAGTCGATATACAAAAGCATCTAATCACAATTACGAGTCAGAAAATTAGCTGTCAAATAGCAAAATGTGGCTAAAATAAGCCCTTTACAAATCACAGCTGTAATATGCCACTTACGAATCACAGTTACAATAAGCCATTTATAAATCACACTTCAAATAAGCTATTTACAATTCTTTAATAATGTTCCTAAGTCTCATTTTACCAACTGTTCAAATGTCGCTGGCAAATATAATTATATTTTTACGAAAATTTTATATCATGTACAAAACATATTATATATGCAATAGGATATATTTTTGTTTATTAATAGGCAGATGCATATTTCTGTCATCGTGCAATTTTCAAGTTAGTTAAATTCAAGCAGTTAGAATCAAGCTAAATATATCTGAACGGTATAAATCCGTAAATGTGCGGATGTAAATGGTATATATCCGTAAATGCACAAATGTAAACGGAATGAATGCGTAAATAAGCTACAGGTAACTGGCTAACTAATCCGTAATAAAAAACAACCGTTAAAATTATAAAAAAAAACTGTCAATTTATGGACAGTTAGCAAAAAATAAATGGTTTAATGGATTTAAGAATACCACACATGATAAAATAAATTCATCGTGCTACAGACAATTCTGGAAAATAATAAATATAAACAGGACCATGATAAATTATACTTTTAGAAGCAAAACGTAACAAATAACTATTATAAATAATCGAAGTTTTGAAAAATCAATAAACAAATTTCGGAAATATAAGAGTTTTTAATGTCTTTGGACAAAAAGTAAACTAAAATTTTTGTTTAAAATGCTAATATCCAAATATAGTCCTTTAAATCACTAGATCCTAATTTTTGGCAAAAACTTGGCTAAATTTAAATGCATACCATCAGGTATTTCCTCAAAAATAACCAGCTATATAACGTTAAAAAGGACATCCTTCACGTTGTCATTTAAATTTTGAACTAATATAAAGGGGAATAGAACATTAATACAAAAATACAATTGAATGGTCGTTATATGATCACAATTAGTTTATTTTGTTTTTATTTAACTTTCATTATTGTAGAGAACTTTTAAGATAACACATTTTTTTGCGATGAAACACGACATTAAATTAGCTATAAAGCTTACTACCAAGTTATGTTTTAGCAATTGGTAACTTTGATGTGATGAAAGTTTTATCATTTATAAGCTTTCATTTAAGGCCTTTCAATGTTCCATTGATAAGCGCATGCATATACATAGATTTAAATTAGCTATAAATTTTACTACCCAGCAACTGGTAGCTTTGCGGTGATCACAGTTTTACCATTTATAAGCCTTTATTTAAAGCCTTTCAATGCTTCATTGATAAGCGCATGCATATGCATAGATTTGTTAGTATAATAAATTAAGTTTTTATTTAAAGCAGGCTACTGTGCAAACACTTATCACTATACAATTGTGCGAAAACTAAAAGCAAAATTGTTTCGCATATAATATTAATCAAGAAAATTTTGCTACTTATAATTTAAGTTCAACAGCATTCTAAACTTAAGTTAAGTTTTAATTAATAACAATATTATTTATAGTAAAATACAGTAATGTTATCAACACCATACATACTTTCATTACTCATCTGATCTTGTTTTTATTTTAAAAAAAGGAACAAGCTTGTTGGTCAGTTAGTTTTTCTTTTTTTTAGAGATTCCCTTTCAGAATTTAAATTAAGAAATAAAACTCATTTGCTATTCTGTAATATATTTAAAGATTCCCCTCACTCATTTCCAGTATTTCAGTTTGTAAAATAAAAATAGAAGCAGAGATGCAAAAACACATGATTGTTATTTATATGTTAAAAAAATGCACATACACACACTGAAAGCACCTGCACATAAGTGACTAGAAACCATTATGTATATAAAATATCGTATCAATAAATCCAAGTCCGTGTTCCAAAGTCGTTAATCGTAATCGTTCCAGTCGTTTCAAGTCCTGTTCTATTATTTAGGTGGTGCGGCAGTATGACAGGAGGGTTAGAACAGAACAGGACCTGAGGCAGCATTCGTCCACAACTCCTCTTACTTGGCGGCCATGGCGAATAGAAGCTCCTGGAACAGATTGCACAGGATCGTTCTGTTCTCTTGAGGTCAAGGAGGAGAACAACCATTGGGGATAAGAATCTATTAAAAAGATTATTTTATAAATACAATGCTTCTGTTATCAGTAAAATAAAAGATATTAAATACTATTACTACTACTACTACAAAAAACGAAATTCAGTGGCACGACAGCCCATAGAGGGCCAAGGCCTACTGAGCCCATCTCAGTTTTCTTGGGCTCTGGGGTGCAGGAGCAGGTGTTCCGGTTAGGTGGCCACCCGAACGCGGAACCCCCAGTGTTTGGTTCTCAAGCATCCTTGGTACTCATTTTATTGATCCACTGAAAGGATGAGAGGCTGAGTCAGCATGGCCCAGCCCGAGGATCGAACCCAGGATCGGTGGCACGACAGCGTGATGTGCTACTACTATTTTCTGTCTACCGAGAGAGAGAAAATAGAGAAAATATAGTGTCCCAACAGTTAAGTCAGAAACTAGTCGAAAATTTGCGTCTATCTTATCAATCTTTGATTCCATTTTCAGATAACTAATGATACTTCTGAACTAATGTAGCAATATATGTAAAAATAATTTATCGCAATTACATCTAAGAATCTTCAAATGACAAAATACAAACACTTAAGGTAGATTAATTTCTGATATACGAAATTTTTGACGACTTTTTTGTGAAAATACGACTTTTTTGAGATGGCGAAGTACGCCAAAAAATAACTTGAATTGGTCCAAATTTTTGACAACTTTTCTTACTAAAATAATGGGACCCTATTTCTCAGATTCCAGATTGAGAGTCAGAAATTCGAACACATTGAAAAAATAAATTTCTTCAGAGAAGGTATACGTTTTTGTGTCTCAATTCATAAGTTAAAATATCGTCTCCGCTAATTGATTTGCATATTTAAAAATAGGCTCTCAAACTATCAAGATTGAATCATAGTTAAAATTGAGTCAGAGAACTGAAGTGCTTTTCCACACATATGATTTTCTATAGATGATTTTTTTTTTGTGTTTACATGTTATTCGAATACCCAAAGAATTTTTCTTATTAAAGTTAAAGCTTTGACGTGAACTTTTTAAAAATCAGTATAGTATACTTATGTTAATGTATAAAAGTTCAAAAAGTTGTAAAAATTTCTACAGAATGTTATATCTGTGAGTTCCTTATTTTTTAATATCTTTTTCTTCGGTATTGCACACAAATTACCACAGAAAATGCTCTCATGTCTTATAATATGCAATTGAATGCACATGTATCAAGCAGCAATCAATATAATCATCAGGCAAGATTAATTTAAAAAGTATTCAAAAATAAAAAAGCGACTACTTCTTAAAAGTTTGTACCAAAAACTGATATTGAAAATTGAATACTGATTTTGAACGAAATCTGTATGAAGGCAAGCAAATTTTTTGTTTGTTTTACACTTATCTATGAAAATTGTTCTAAGGGTACTGTGATATAATACTTATAATGAATACTAATGCATTTTTTAAAGCTTTTCTATTGTACTTCTGTCAAGGAAATATATATATATATACTTGAAATATCGTCTGCACTTTTTAATTAGCATATTTGAGGTCACCCTNTATGTTGGTGTGTTTATTGTTAAAATACCTATCCAACTTTAACAGAGCAGTTTGTTTCAAAAGGCTCTAAACAATTAAAATTTTGTTTGTTGTGTCATACACTTAACAATGAATAAAAGTTTTGAAGAAACTAAACAATGCAAGAAATAAATATAAGATGCGTAACAATGAAAAGAATTCACTTTGTAAAAAGCTATTGAGTGAGTTGGGCGATTTTTATTCAACTGCTCTTTTGCGATTCAATTTATATTGGTTATGGCGAGATTTTTCTCGAGATTTTTCAGATACATTCGTAAAAAACTGTAAGTAACATATATTTTGTTTATTCAATTTAGTCAACGAAAAAATAAAACAAAAATCTATAAATTTTTTCAAGCATAAATCTGCATAATGTTGCACATACAATAAGCCAGTCCAGTTTTAAAGTCCCGTTTTAATTTTTCATAAAAACAATTAATTTTAATAATTTAAAGGCATTAACATATCATGTAACATTGACATATATGTTTAAACTTCCTTATTTACGAAAGAAATTTATATTGATCATTCATTTATATTTTGGTATATTAATTTGAAATGCATATGTCAGTACTGTGTCATAACTAATTGTAAATATGATTATTTTTTTATTAAAAACATGTCCTAAATATTAAAAGTGATTATAGATACCTTAAACCATTTAAATATCTATTGCCATTATAGTTTCAATAGAAATAAATTATTATTGTAAGAAGAATTTATTCTATAATAATAATAACTAAATTTTCATTTAATAACAGGAGATTGAATGGTGTTCCTAAAAAAGGAAAAAAAAGTATTGGCGGAGAGGAGGAGCCAGAGATATGTTGTAGAATTGGAAGTGCACTCATAACTCCTTCGGAGTTGTATTGCTTTGATATGGATTTAGAAAAAAGCTTTGATGGGGCCAAAAATAGTGATTTTGGCGTAGAAGAAGAATCTGAGCTATATTATAGAATTGGTAGTGCACGCATAGCTCCTTCGGAGTTGTGTTCTTTTGATATGGATGAACAAAAAAGCTTTGATTGTGCCAAAAATAGTGATTTTGGCGGAGAGGTAGAATCTCAGTTATGTTATAGAGTTGGAAGTGCACGCATAGCTCATTCTGAAATGAACTGCGTGAATATGGATGAAGAAAAAAACCTTGGTGGTGACAAAGACAGTGATTTTGGCGATGAGGTGGAGCCAAGGCTTTTCTATAGAATTGGAAGTGCTCGCGTAGCACATTCCAAAATGTATTGTGTGACTATGGATGGAGATAAAAAATTTGATGCAGCCAAAGCCATTAATTTTGGTGAAGAGGAGGAGTCAAAGCTTTCTAATCGAATGGGAAGTGCTCCTTCAAGGATGTATATTTCAATGGTGTGATTTTGTAAAAAAAAAATGGCTGACATCAAAATGACTTTGAAAAATGACTGACATTAAAAATGTTTTTGATATTAAAAGTGACTTTAAAAAATATTTGATATTAAAAATGATCTTGACATTGAAAATAAGTTGGTAATCAAAAAAAACTTTTACCATAAAAAAAAAAAAAAAAAAAAAAAAAAAAAAAAAAAAAAAAAAAACAGGGCGATGTCCATCGAGTGTAGTAATGTTAATTTATGCGATATTCAATTCCCAGCGGAATAGATTTTTGGAAACTATTTCGCTGGAAGACACTCGTAAAGCTCCCACAAAACAACATCTTTGCTGACCCTCACCTCCACGTGGTATCGCCCGGGCAACGGTTAATCCGGCTAACGAGGGCAGCGGACGTGGGAGCACAAGTAATATCCTAAACTATTTAACCAATTGATATTATCAAAATAACAATGGAATACTAAAATAAGGAATGATCAAATTAAGGAAAGAGACACAAATCACATTTAAAAGCAAACCGGTTTGAGAAACTTTCATGCTAGTGTAAAATCTCTAAATTAATCTAATTATTGATACATCTTTTAGTGTGAAAATTAACCTGATCTTTAATTTTTAGATTTAAAAAAGTATCGGTTATTTTCAATAAGACAGACTTATTACTTGGTCAAGGATTGCTTATGACCCACCGTTTAAGGAGGAAATTTGGGAATTTAGACTTTAAGTCCAAAACAAATGACCGTGTCCTAAATAATCAGAAAAATAGATAAAAGCTCAAAAACGATAATGAAACTTAAAAAAACTTAACTTGAAAAAGTTTTAACGCTTAAGCTTTAAATTTTTTAAAAAATAATATGTGTTTTTGCTCTCTTAAAAAATAGTTATTTTCAGTGTTCGCTTCTTTTTGTGCACAATATAACGGTAGAAACTGTTTTATAATGCAATTGTTCTTTAAAATCTGTATTCAGCTAGTATTTTAAATATGAAAGCTTTCAAAATAAACGTATTAAAAAAGTCTAATATTAATTCAGAATTAAATTAAATATACTTATATATGTTCTATAATGAGGTTTTTTTCAATCCAAAACTTAGAGTGTATACTTTCTACTGCGTAGAATGAAGCAAAATGTGTATTAAGTGCATAATAAAGCAAAGAGCTGGACATACTATAGTTTCAGTCTTCGAAACAAGAACACTGCATAAAGTTACGGTTAGACAATGAGGCAGGTATTATTTAGAAAACTGAAACTCTAGTTTGTCTATGTCTGTACTTAATTTGAACTTAATGCATGTTTTCAATGTTTTTGCCTACAGAGTTTAAATTTTTTTAACCTGTTAATAAGTTAATAGAAGTACCAAAAGTTATTTAACCTTATATTTCATCTTGAAATTAATATAACATTTATTTATACAGAAAAATAACCTAAAAATGGCGAGAACTTTCTGCTTATCATCTCTTAAGACCTAAATAAAGGCTGGTAGTAACATAAAATTTCGCATTTATTTATACAATTTATGTAACTCATAAGAAATAAATTAAGACATCAGGTTAATTATAATTCAAGTTTCCGTCGGAAGTTGTTTTTGGAACAGTTGTTGTCCTATATTTGAAAAATGAATGAAAAATGATTAAAAATTACCTAAAAGACCAAATTCACTGAGAATGGTAGAATCCACTTGCCCTTATTTATAGTGACACTACCAAAGAATGATCACCACAAAGAGATTTATGACCTCACCAGACACATGAACTTAAATAATTACAGTTGACAATTACAAAGGGCGCAGTTGTGTCACACAATGCCATAGATGCCAGAATTTTAACCACGTCCAACATTCCTGCAGACATACTCCCAAATGTTTAAAGTGTGGTGAAGGGCACTTAACATATACCTGTCAAAAATCCAAGGATACTCCGTCCACCTGTACCAATTGCAGTGGTCCCCCACCCTTCAAATTATAAACAATGTCCCAAATATCCCTAAGTAGAATCTAGGAGCAGTTACAGCTCCAATCACCAAAATGAAGTCTACTGAAATATATTTGCTTTGACTGTGACATATGCCTCAACTCTTAAAGAATCAAAGCTTCGGAATCTTCAAAAT